CTTCGATGAGCCCATCACCCACCATGTCGGCTCTTCCCCAACCACGAAATCCTCGGGGTACTTCTCCAGTTCCCTCTCAATTTCATGAATCGTGCAGTATTTATTCTGGAAGAATTCCATCATGACGTCCTTCTCGGCCTTCTTCTCGATCTCCTTCATCCAGCTTACCCACTTGCGCCGATCTTGGTTCTCAGCGGCCCTGTCAGCCGCGTGCGGTGCCAGACTGATGGAGTTGATGTTCATCGCAGGCAGCTTCGACTCATAGATCATATCGATACACCATAGGAAATCCCTGGCGTACTCAATCTCCCGGTAGAGATCGTTCAGCTCCTTTTTGTCTGGACGGAAATAAGCCGTGTATGACTGATCTTTGGAGTCCTTCTCACCGAGCAATGGCTGCAATCTCCTCATGATGAAAGAGACGCACATGAGCGAATTGACCGCTCCGATGCACGCGTCAGAGATGTCACTGGGGGTTGACCCACAGATCATCCAGCGCAATAGGTTGTTCTGGCTGGCATCCTCATCCCTCCTCAGTGCATATGCGAGGTTCTTCATCGATGCCTGCAGCTCATTCTGGTAGACCAACCCAAGGTCCCAATTCTTCTGGTAGTCGTCCTTGGAGCCACGACCGTAGGAGTCGATCTTGGGAGCCTTGATCACGCTCAACGTGAACACTTTCCCCCAGTTTCGATCACTGTACCTTGCAATTCTCCGATCGTGCCTCTCAAACTCTGCAGTCGTCTGGAACTCCTCGGAGCTCCTCCACCTTCTCGATGACGATGCCCTAGATGACTCGTCGCTGATGAATTCTTTGTATACCTCCCCAACCGGGGTGTCCTGGTGGAATGCAGCTTTGAACGACCGTTCATCGTTGTCCTCGGCCACGCCCAATGCGAGATCCCAGATGTTCGCGATTGATCTCAACATATCCGCCCCTTCTATGCAATACTTGGTTACGTCGAGCAACTCGGGGTTCTTCGCTAGCATCGATGCCTCACCGCAAAGTTGGTTCAGCGCCGCCACAATCTTCTTTCCCTTGCTGCAAAAGTCCCTCCATCCAAGCATGCATTCGTCGGCAGAAAGCTGTCCGAAAACTTTGCTGATGAACTCTAATGCAACCCTCATGGATTGCCCTTCACCTTTCATCATCCCGCGGCCTTTGGCAGAATAATACGCTGAGTAGGCATAAATAGCAGGGACGCCAATGTCCTCGATCCACTTCACGCACATACCCAGGTCGCTGCTCATCTCCATCCTCTTGGGTATCCTCTTGCCTTCCTCGATGGCGTTCTTCACCAAATTTCCCAAGAAGACTGCCGCTTGCCTAGATTTCCCAACAGGCACGCAGAAGAACTCATTCGTATTGACGACAGTCGGATTGGTAGTCATCTTGATGATATTCTCCAGAACCAGGAAAACCCAAAATAAGCAGCTGCAAATGGAGCCACGGAATTGTCCCAATATGATCCCAGCTTCAGATTGAGGTGACGAACTCGTCCAGCCCCTCCTTGAAGCTTGGGGTTCGGGACTGACCCAGCTCCCCGTATGCACCAGAGGTTCGGGACTGACCCAGCACCTCGGTTGTGCAGTTGGGGTGGTGCAGATTTCGCTCGCAGTAGCTTGGTGCTTCCGCGATCTCCTTCTCGTAATGCAAGCAAGAGCGAGTTTCAACGGTGCCGGTTTGAGGCACCTTGCTCGAGCACGAAAACGGCGAAGGATCACACCCACAATTATTGACGTGTACAACTGGGTTTCTTTGGTTTCACGACCAGCACAAGGTCCAAGCTCATGGTTTCCATTGCATTTCTTAGACAACGAGCCACCAAGTTCAAAGTTCCATGAGACAACTCTCCATGGTTTCTTGATTGGCATGGGTTTCTTTGCATATCTTTGTTTCAAACCATAGCGACACCCATCAAACTCGTGACTAGTCCCATCATGCACAACCTCATGCAGTCTCTCATCTTTCCAATAATCACAACTTCCAGGCAACTCAAACAAAATCGCAGCTCGTTTTGTCATGGCATGCCGTTTAATTTCAACGAACCGTTCAAATAATCTCCAAAATTTTCTTTGTTTGGCCTCGATTTTCTCTGCGGTGTCAATGCCGCGAGTCTTGTTGAGGCGTGCCCATGATGATCCCTCCGTGCAAGGCCCGGCGAAGAACAACAAATCGGAAGGTTTGGTAAGCACATGTCTGGCGATTCTCC